GATCCATGCGCCGGCCACCCTGCAGGCCCAGGAACTGCAGCTATAAACCACCAAGCTGGGAACAATGCCAGCCATACCACAGAACCACCAAAGGTCAAGCCGAAGCTCGACCTCGATCTCTATGACCCGGACGACGACGACATGTGATTTTTTTTACTTGCCCGAGTTCGGCGGTTCTAAATAAAAACCTCCATGGGGAACAATCTGTTTTTGTTTACCTTCCCTGTTTACTTGCATTCTTAGGAGCAGGTGCATCCTAATACCCATCGTTCGGCCCTTCTCTTTTAAGGCCATGCTCTTCCCACCGGCTAAATGACATCTCCCGTGCAGAAGGCGCAACAGGCCCTGTTGTTGTTTATTCTAATGCCGTGGTTCTTTCCCCTTCGTATCTCTCTTTTTCTCCCTTTTTTCTTTTTTTTATATTGTCCCTTCTCACTCGAGCCTCTTCTTGTCTCCTTTGCTCGAGACATCCATAAATCTGACGCCGTGCACCATCGGTTTTTCCATCCGCAGGGCCAGCCGGTGTTCAATATCCATGTTCTATTCATTTTTGTTATAGGATTATAGTTGCATTGGTTATCATCATGTCTAGCCAAAGAGTCATCACGGTTAGGATTGACACCAGCAGAAATCGCCGTTCAGATAGCTCAGCCGAAGAAGAGACCGCCAGCGTTCCCACCGTCCATGAAAAGGTACCCCCTGTTGAGACCGTTTCCTCTAGCAGCACTGCCGCCACCAGTACTTTGGCAGCTGATAGTTCCAGCCAATATGGTGAAAGCTTCCTGGCCCTTAAAGCCACTCGAATTGAGATACAAGAGTCAGAGAACTATCATCAGCTCCCGTTTTCGTATCCCTGTTGGAAGAAATGGACAATACTTGTTATCATCTTTTTCGTGCAAGTCTCCATGAACTTCAACACGAGCATCTACGCCAACGCTATTGTGCCTATGGCCAACCACTTTTCAATTTCCGAAGCTACCGCCAGACTCGGCCAGATGTCTTTCCTGATTGCATATGCGTTAGGTAGTGAACTTTGGGCGCCATGGAGTGAGGAACTTGGCCGATGGCCGGTCATGCAGCTGAGCTTGCTTCTGGTCAATATTTGGCAAGTTTTGTGCGCTCTCGCCCCCAATTTCTCTTACATCGTTGCCGGTCGTACCCTCGGAGGTTTATCCTCAGCTGGAGGCTCTGTCACTATGGGAATGATAGCAGACATGTGGGAACCAGATCAGCAGCAGTATGCAGTCGCTTTTATCGTTTTGTCTTCTGTTGCTGGCTCCGTCGTTGGTCCTATTGCTGGAGGGTTCATGGAAGTCCGCCTCCACTGGCGGTGGAATTTTTGGATCCAGCTGATTCTCGGAGCCGTAGTCCAACTTGCTCACTTTCTCCTGGTGCCAGAAACCCGTTCGACCATCGTGTTGAATAATCTGGCGAAAAAGCAACGGAAATCAGGTGTTGCGAATGTTTATGGTCCGCTGGAGCTTCGTGGTTCCAGCCTCACATTTAAGGAAGTTATTACGATCTGGGTTCGCCCGTTCAGCATGTTTGTCCGCGAACCGATCGTCCTATTTCTTTCTCTCCTCAGCGGGTTTAGTGATGCCCTAATTTTCACCTTTCTCGAATCATTCCGCCCAGTGTATAGCCGCTGGGGTTTCGATACCATTCAGACTGGTCTTGCCTTTATCCCGTATGTTCTATTCCCTATGATATGTTCTAATATGCTCCTAACCTCATTTAATACAGAATCATGGTTGGCTACTTCCTTGCCTATTTTTCATTTTTCCCAGTGATAATGAAAGATAAAAGAGCCATGGCGAGAAATCCTGACGGCCTTGACCCAGAGTCACGGCTCTGGTGGCTCCTCTTTAGTCAGTCATACCTCCCTGCCTAATTTTCCGTGACCTATGCTGACCCATTTTCATAGCCGCTCCCTTGGAGACGATCGGTCTCTTTGGATTTGCCTGGACGAGCATGGGGCCTCCTGCGGTGCATTGGTTCGCCCCGATGTTTTTTTCGATGCTCATTGCGATTGCAAACGTTAGTATCCAGGAAATATTACATTATAAGATATACTGCTAATTTGCACTACGTTTAGTACTGCATTTACATGGCCACCATTGATTACATGGTCGCAAGCTATGGCCCATATTCCGCCTCAGCAACAGGCGGCAACGCCCTAGCGAGAGACTTTCTAGCAGGCATTGCTGCTCTCTATTCCACGCCAAGTATGTAACTCATAATCACTCACCGTTTGGATTAGTAAACCGCTTATAATTCTAACCGTCTTCTTGCCAGTGTATCGAAGCATCAAACATACGTATCACCTCGAGATACCCTCCACCATTTTAGGGTGCATATCTTTTCTTGTCACTGTACCCATCTACATCTTCTACTGGAAAGGTCCTCAAATTCGTGCAAGATCCAAGTTTGCACAGGGTGTAGCTCGTAACAGAAATGAACTTAAGCATCGCCGAGCTATCCACGAAAGAAGTTCAGTTGATGCTGGGAAATTGACTGATGTTTAGCCACCACTTGATCTTCTAAAATGTCAAGGGTGAAGCAGGTGCCCATTACTTGCTTGCTTGACATTCTGTCACCGATGCAATGGTTGATTGACTCGGGTCCAGTGACGATATGCATGAGCATACTCGAACAGCGGTTACCATCATATTATGTTTTGTTTCTTCGTCCTTGTTTTATTACCGTGTATAATATTTGGCGCCTGTTCCCGTTGTACTGCGCTGTCTTTGCGTTAACTTATGGATAAAACAACTGTCTCCTGAGCTGAGGACAGGATGTTTGCGTCCCCAATAAATCCTTTCGTTCGAGCCATAACATTTCAGGGACTTTATTCAATTAATTCGCTGTTCTCAAAAGAAAAAAAGCTGTTTGAAGAAAGGAATACACAAATAATTTCGGATGACAAGTGCCCCTTAAGAAGGTATTGAAATAGACAATCCATCAGAACGCCTTAGACACAAAACTAAGAGCCCAGTTTCAACGTGCCTAGTGCCCTCCAGTTGCGCCATGTGCTAACTCTACCCAGTTTGCACAGAGCCCAGCTGCCCCCTCGGCGCCTCCGTTCTACCAGAAAAAACGTGTTAGATAACTATACTGGATCTTCAGTTAAAGTGATCAGGGGATTTGTATAGTTACCTGGCAAAAACACTCTCTGCCAAATCTAGTGCATTGTTCCTGATGGGTACAGGGGGTACCATTGGAACATACGGCTTGCTAGGCCATAGAAAGATATACGTATTAGCTTGAAGTCAAGCACATGGTTATTGTCAATTTTAATCACCTGAGAAACGACGGTGCTAGGGGTCTGGCCCTTGGGCAGAGCGATGGTCACGCTGACGAAGGCCATGGCGAGGATTAACGAAGTCTTCATCTTGGGCCACTGACTAGATGACTCGGGTCTTCACTTTTCTGTTTGATTGGAGTAGGTAGCGAAAGGGAGGATTGAGATGCAGAGTAGCTTGTTAAATCTCCGTTCAGTTAGCCACGGGCGAGCGAGGATAGTTTATATACATCCATCAGAGCCAGTATTCATTATTATTATTATTATTATTTGACTCCCTCAACCATTCTGTTTTTAGATCACTGAGTCTGCAACAACTAACAACAGTCCCGGATTCTCCCTCAATCTATGGAGTATTTGACTGCCGTTTTCTGCCCGTATGTGTAACAAAGCTCATTCATGCATCCCCTGGCGGCTAGCCCCTGAACGCTGGTTTTGAGCCCAAGGTGCTAACCAACCAACTAGTTAGTTTAAACAAAGAGACAGGGGGCGCTATCTGACACTATTTGACGCAGTACTGCCTGTAGTTGACGCCCGTTTGACATTTGGCATGTGCAAACAAGTCTAACAAACACTATGGGCTCGTCCCTACGAAATTGCTTATTTCAGGGGCCGTGCCTTAAGCGCCGTGCTTGCAAGGATACGAGAAAACGGGAGACACATCAATATCCATAACCAATGAATTCCCATTGCCAGTTCGCGCTGGAACTATTTCTAAGTGACATCACGAAAGGTAAGGGCTATATATAGATAGAAAAAAGAAAGTAAATGCATGGGTTAACCCATTACTGCTGGGGGTAAATGCGTAGCTAATTAGGAGATTGGCCAAGATCAAAAGAAGAATAGAACAATGCCAAGAGAAAGAATGAAAAATGAAGGCGTGATAAAATGGGGTATTTGTACAGGCTGACACCAAAAGTAAGGTGCATATATTTGTGTGATCGCTATGCTGGCAAGGATGCAGTGATCTACCATGAGAGGGTAGATGTTAAAAGAAATGTAAACAGCTCAAAATAGTCCTCCAATGACAGAAAGATCGGTATGAAGCTCCTTCAAGAAGATAAATAGGAGTTGCAAAGTAAATGGTTAGTACAAGATGATTATTCAATCAGTATGTCAAAATATGAAGCTTTTGTTTGAACTTTTGTTTGAACGCGCAAATCAGTCGCATCCTGGAAACAAGAAGTAGCAAAAAGGCGAAGAAGCCAAGTTGCGAGCCTCGTGTCGTTCCATTTTATAGTTCAATGCTTCACTTCGATTCCGGTATGACAGCGCTGGTGGTAGATGCCGTCCGTCTAGTCCATCCAGTGAAGAAACCGACAGGCGATGAGTTTTGGGACTTGGGCGGGGCGGTTGTGTCTGGGCTTGGTTTAGATGCAGTGACGAGTATGCTGGGGCTGGAGTCACCGGCAGTGGAGGCGGGCGAAGTTGCATTCGTAGAGCGACTCATCAGTCGTTTGAGAGTGTCCAATTTGACTTTCATTTCTTCTAGCTCCTGTCGTGCGACCGCCTCTGAAGTTTTCGCGTTAACAAGCTCAATAAGCAGGCCTTCCTCGTCGCCAACAAGGGATTTGGGAACTCCCAGGCTGCTTGTTCGTTTTGAGAATGTTGGGGTTTTAGGGGAGCTGGCCTTTCCAAGCTTGAATTCCCGCAGGCCGTTTGCAGACCCGTCATCCCCCGACCCGACCGATTCAGGACGATCAGTTTGCAGCTTTGAAAGGGGCGGTTTCTTTGCTCTAAGCTCTTGTAGCGTTCGTTCAAGGCGCTGCTTTTCTTTATGTGCGTCCTGAACTCTGCTTCGAGCCTCCTTGAGCTGTTCCTTTAGCTGGGCGTTCTTTTGTTCGTGCTCGTCAATGGTTCGACCCATGCCGTGACATCTAGTGGCCTCGAGCTCGTATTTGCTCTTCCACATTTCAACATCATCCAGCAGCTGCCGTTTGGTTTGCAGCATCGACATGCGTCGTGGCTCCGTTGACGCAAACCTTTCTTCTGCTTTGAGGATGAGTTTGGGATCAGGTTGCTCAGCTGGAGTCTCTTTCATATGGGATAGCAACTGGGCAGCTACCACCTGATCCTCCTCACGCTCCTCTCGTTCTTGTTGCAATTGCTTAGCCAGAGCGGCCTGCTCTCGCTGCATATCGGAAAGAGCAAGAAGAAGGTCCTCTATTTGGGAGTGCAGATCCTTGTCGCTGGTTTGTAAACGATGTGGCTTTGGTTTCGGCGTCGCATTGTCAATGTTCGAACTCGATAAGGTCGATGCCTCGGTCGGTGCTGTACTGGCTTCCGACGTGGATGACTCTAAAGAGTTGAGAGTTGAAGCCATGCTCTGTTTCGATGGCGTTCGAGTAACACCCATGCAAGGGCTTGACCCTGGAGTCGGAATACCAGGGCTTTGAGCAACAGATTTGACAGAGCTGTGAGAACTCGAGCCAGCCCAGAGTCTACCTAGGAATCGGGAAGCAATAGCTTGAAGCTGAGGAAGTGACACACTTTGTGCAGTGCCTTGGGCTTCCTGGTATTTCACCTCGAGAGCGTGCAAGCTTTCGTGAGTGACCAGGGAGGTGAGTGACACAAAGTCCGTAACAAGATCATCAGCATTGCAGGCATACCTAGAGGGCGGTTTCAGCAAAGCTCACAGGTGTCTCGGGCATTACGGAGTACTTACGGATCCCATAGACTTCTTGATAGCAACAGTTGCATGGCGTCTTCGAATTCCGTGCAGGCCATAATTCTGTACTGATTCCGCTGCATAAGGGACAAGGCAACACGCATCAAGGTCTCGCAGGCTCCTTCAAGCAAAAGAACATCATATATACGCAGAAGCATGGGAAGAGGACAGGTAACAGCAAAGAATGACAAGAACCATTGTGATACATAGACTGGTTCAATTTTGAGTGAATCAAGGTGAGCGTATAGCTCTGGGGCGTGATGTGAGAGCAATGACTGGAATTGGTAGATACGGAGGTGGAGGCCAGATAAAGTCGGCAGGAAACAAGATCGCAAGTCATAATGGTCCATCAGTCTGCATTCGGAGTGCGTCAGTAAGTATATTGCCAAGCAAAGGGAAGCATTAATGGAAGACGGACCTAACAAGGACACAAAAGGCCTCGGCTTCACTCATATGCATTAGCAGGGGGCCAACAACGAAGCCTAAGCCCTGGCAATACCCGATCTTGCTATCATAAAGACTGAAGCACTTGAGGACCCTTCCTAACATCTGCTGGCCTTCCCCAAGCGGATCTCGAAACATCTCTACGTTGGGGAAGCTTCGTCCAATATCCTTGCCGATAAGGCCCTCGTAGGGACTTGTCTCACCACACAGCTTTTCGTACTCGTCGTGGAGGTGAGAATCTCGAGCTCCAGCAATGCTCGGCCACACAACCCCTCTAAGCGGAGGCGGGACACCCCCTCGGATTTTATGGGAAGTAAGAGTGGGAAGCCGCTGGGCGGTACGAGGATAGTCGGCAACAAGAGCAGCCCAGAACTCAAGCTCGGTCATCTGGGGAGCAGGCAGTTGGGAATACCGGAGCGAAGACCGAGGGTCATTAACGAGATCTTTGAGTTTTTGGATGGATGGAGGCCTTGAATTGCGGACGGATGCCTTTTTTGCCGAAGCAGACTTTGGGTCTGTTGCTAGAGCGTTGTTTTCCTGTTCTAGTCGAGCTAGGAGCAATGTTGTCGACTGTTGGGCTTCCCGGTCAGCAAGGCAATCATTACAGTCCTCAATGGCTTCTTCAAAGCAGCCTTGGGGTGCCTTCCATCTTTTATTTCCCTGTTAACGAGGTCGAAAGACTCACCACATCGTCTCCCGATGCCTTTGACTGGTTGACTTCGGTCTCCTCCAAGCCGGCCCAGTCAACACTTCGACCATCATCCATGTCGGATTTACTGCTCCCACCGATGCTTTCAGCCTTGCTAGATGCGATTGACGGAGCCCTAGAGGGTGTCTCTTCGGCCTGTAGTTCTGAAGCGGTTTCGAGCTCTTCGACATCCTCTTCTCCGTCATGCTGCGTTTCATCTGGACTGTCTAGCCCAAGGCCAACAGGAACGGCGGTTTCTGGACAGTATACAGCATCTGACAACATGGGCCCTTCTCCCGATACCCCAGAGCCCCTCTGTATGTCTGAAAGTGGCACAGTTACCATAGAATCGGTTGGTAGAGGGTTGCGTTCTTCGTCGTGCTGGGGCACTGGCGGAGGATCAGGGGAAGTTGTTGCAGGGGAAACTTCCATCTCGATTGATCCCTGGGTTGTTTCTGGCTTATCCACTGCCATTATCTACCGCTTGTAGTTCTTTTTAAAACGCTCGGTAGCTGTGAGAGAACGAGTGTGCAACGGTCAAGCTAGGAGCTGTGTATCTATACAGAAGCCGGTGCGTTAAACGGGTAGCCGTGCTGCCATGGGGGCTACCCGACGCGTAGCCAGTGAACGAGAGGATGCCAACCGTGACCAGCGGCAGCTTCGGCTCGACAAAAGAGTGCAGTTGAGCGTTGGAAGCGAGTGCGAAACGAGATATCATGTCATCCCATCTTCTATCCGTTTTGTCTTGTCTTCGTCTGCTGCGTCGATGCTTTTTTTATGTCGATAAGGGGCATGCTGACTAAGACACGCCACAATCACGTGGAATTCAGGGGGCGAAAGACCGTGGAAGAAGATGAAGCAGCAAGAAACAAAAGACCGGAAAAGCGATGCATAAAAGGGCGTTGGTAGATGGACAGAGTAGATAATTAGAGAGAGAAGAAGAAGAAGAAGAAGCAGAGAGGAGGAGCCCCAGGATGCGACGAATATTGTGGTGGTGTTTTGCGGGAGAAATACGGGCAAGCGGCCATTACAAGGAGATCTCTTCAAGGGGCCCCCTGCTCCTGATAGTAGCAAGTTAGAGAGTAATGGGAGGGCGATGAGCATCATACGAGAGGAGGCACCTTACTAGTGAAGCCGTTGTCGTACCGTACTCTGGGCTGGCTCGTGTGAGCTCTCTAAGCGCGGAGACGCTCGTCAGACGGCTGATAACCCGGTGTCTTCCCTTAACTCATTCGTTAACTAGCTGACTTGGTAGTTAACGACTCGATAGCCTCGGGCTAATCTCAAACTCGAGCTGGTCCATCCGACTGATTTCTACACTCGGAGTGCCTGTTCTGCAGCAACTAACTAGTTAGGTTAGTTAACCGGGTCCGGCGTCGATTAAGATCACAATATCCAGAGAAGAAAGGTCGTATTGCCGAAGTGCCGGCCAGATAGTTGACTATCACGAATACTACGGAGCGCTCCGTAGTGAAATCCGGCTCGTGAAAGGGAGAAAGGATACCCATCTCAGGCGATTAACTAGCCTCCGCTTTGACAGTACTCCCCTACGGTGGCCGACATGAAGGTGGGCTTGCGGGCGCTATCTCGGACCAGCAGGCGGTGGCTGAGCTATTCGACAAGGAGGCAGCCATGGTCAAGCCAGAGACGCCTGTTTTCTGTCTCACGGCCCAGCCAAATCATGGACCTCAGCTGCTTTTCGCCTGAGCAGCTGATGGTGCGCGAGTCGATCAATAAGATCTGTTCTGCATTCCCAGATGTAAATATAGAACCACTCCCTAGCATATACCCGGCTTGTCGCATGTTAACGAGATGTTGATTGACAGGAATACTGGGCTGAGCGTGATCGGACGGAGGAATACCCGCACGAGCTCCATGCTGCCCTGTCGAAAGATGGCTGGATAGGCATTGCCTTACCAGAGAGTCTGGGCGGTGCCGGCCTGGGCATATCCGAGGCCACTATGATGCTGCAGACCATTGCCCAGTAAGGCTGCATCTTACTATGTCCTCAAGCGTTTTCACCAAAGGAGAGCAGCTGCTGATAGATATAGGAGCGGAGCTGGCCTCGCCGGTGCCCAATCGATCCATGCAAATGTTTATGCAACCCAGGTGTGTGGAAACTATCGTTAGAAAGTCAATCGGAACTGCATTTCTGATATTGATACTCCGTATAACTAGCCAGTTGCAAAGTTCGCTTCGGAAAAACAGAAGAAGAGGATGCTGCCGCGGCTGATTGCTGGGGAGTGGAGGACCTGTTTCGGAGTGTATGTTCAAAATTTCTCTGTCATAGTGGGAAAACCATTAAATGCTAATTAAGGCGTAGAACCGAACCGAACACAGGCCTGGAAACATTGAAGCTTCGGACGGTTGCTACAAAAGATGGGGACTCATACCGGGTCTCCGGCCAGAAAATGCAAGCCCCCTGATAGCAAGTGCCTAGTCAGAAGCAGCAGCTAACTAGCGAACTCAGTTGGATCTCGTCCGCCCAAGTAGCCCAGAAGATGATTCTCCTAGCTCGAACCACGCCGATTGAAGAAGTGAAGAAACCGTCGGAGGGCCTCTCGCTCTTCTTCATCGACTTTGACAGGGCCGCCCCTGGTCTAGATCTACGGAAGATCAAGAAGATGGGGGGACGGAGTGTGGATGCCAACGAAGTCTTCTTCGACGAGTACAGAATACCGGCAGATAGTTTGATCGGAAACGAAGGTGAAGGATTCAAGATCGTGAGTATCTATATACCCCTTCCCTTTAGATTGTGATGGACTAGGTCTCGCTTTGTTGACACCCTTTAACCTAGGTCCTTCACGGAATGAATGCCGAGAGATGTCTGCTTGCAGGGGAAGCACTCGGCCTGGGATACATTGCCCTAGAGAAAGCAGCCAAATATGCCAAAGAGCGAGTTGTCTTTGGCCGTCCCATCGGCCAGAACCAGGCCATTGCTCATCCCCTCGCCGCGGCATATATGAGCCTCGAGGCAGCAAAGCTGGCAACATACCATGCCACCAAGCTCTACGATGAGAGCAGAAACGATTCAGCTATCACACAGCAGTCTGTCGGCGTAGCATGCAACTCAGCCAAGTATCTCGCAGCCGAAGCCGCCTTTGCCGCCTGCGAGCGAGCAGTAAGTCACCTCCCAGCGTAGAGTGGCAGGCAATCAATCATGGCAAACCCAAACTGAAAACTGATCAATCCAATACTATTCACAGGTCCTCACTCTTGGAGGAATGGGTTATGCCCAGGAATATCATGTCGAGCGGTACCTGCGAGAGTGTTTCGTCCCCAGAATCGCACCCGTAAGCCGGGTAAGTGTCTCCCATCGATGCGTAGTATTAGTTTCATGATATGTGAAGCTGAGTATCCCACCCGTGAACAGGAGATGATCATGAACTTTATCAGTGAAAAGGCTCTTGGTCTCCCTCGAAGCTATTAAAGTAGAAGCTTTCCACGTAGTTGACTAGTTAGCAGGCTGTAGATCTTTCTCAGGGGGTCCATCGTATCCCCGGCCCGAAGGTGGCCAGAACCCATGCATGAAGTTAGCTTTGCTAACAAACTAGCTGGTTGCGAGAATGACCTCACATTCAGCAGTCTTTAAAGCTGTCAAGCAGTTAGTTAGCTGGTTGAATAGTTAGCTGGTTGGCTCGATAGGCGAGTTACTCCATAGTTATAATATAGTTATCCATGGCAGCCTGTCTCGGTGTCTCGCCGCAGCGATTCCACCCCCGCCACGGCTTCATCCGTCCTGTTTGATGCCCAACTGCCTTGCCCAGTGACGTTATTTCATATCTAACCGGGTTATTGCCTGAGAATCCCTGCTTTGCGAGTCGGGTTGCTGGGATATAATTCTCTAACTTTTGGTAGTTACCTGGTGAGTCCAGCTCAACCTCGCTGCACACGACCAGCCTGTCAGGCAGCAACAGAACAAGCAGAAGACGAAGCTGAAGAGGCAACAGAGTATTAGATCAAGGCCAGACTCCAGATAACTATTAGCTATTGTCAAAACCGGCGTCGTAGTGAGTCCTGCCTACGTACGGAGTACTTTGGGGGGAGAAAAAGACCAGAATCCTAGTATTACATCACATGCTCCGAAACATCGACCTCTGGGATGTTTTTTTTTTTTTTCTTTGCTTTTCTTGCTTCACTTCTAACGACCAACATACACACAAGAAACAGCAGACAGACAACCAACGACCGGAACAGCCGCTTCTTGCATCGAGAACTGTTGCTGGCCTCTGGCTATTATCGAAGCTGCCTATTGCTAAACTCCTGGCTGGTGATTTACACAGCTTGACGAACAGGTCGCAGGCCTACGCAATCTATACAAAATGGCCACCACCAACGGGGCTCACCACCCGCACTCGAACGGTAACCAGACAACCCTCCCCCCCTTCTTACTATCGCACCCTGTTTCTTTTCACATATAGATATGGAATCTCAGTCTATGTGTCTCAGGCATCGCCTTGGGCATCATGGTCGAGCTGTGGCGAAATGAGTAAGGTAAGGCTTCCAAAGACCTCCTCCCAGACAGCTTGGGATTTTCACTGACTTCGGAGCTTTTTGCTGCTCTCTAGTTTACTGTTTCTCGCCCTTGATCTCTATTTCTAGATGAAGGACATCGGATTCTCATACGCGGATGCTAGGATTGTGCTTGTTTTGATCCGTGATTAAGCAAAGTCTGACATCTGGTACGGCTACCCCTATGTTGTACGAAGGCAAGGCCCTAAGGAAACCTCCATGCTGACGGTTATGTGACTATCACTAGATATCGAATACAGGAACGACTAAGCCTACTTCCAATGGCACCCCTTCCTCCCCTTCTCCTCTTCCGCAGGCGTCCCAGCCTTTGACTCGTATGTTCCAGCTATAAACGACTCCTTATCCCTTCACACGGCCACAGCACTAAATACCTTCCTCCATTACAGATTATCACTCAAAATTATACAGCCTCTTGAGCGTGAGCATCCCCCGATTTCCGATGGATCATAAGCGTGCAACAATTGCTATTAGATTCAGCTATTAACATTCGACAAATATTATAGTGGGAACGGCCAAGCGCAACCGCTAGCTCCTTTGCTACCGTTGTCCTCTTTATAGTTGCAAGCAGGTATCTGCCTCTTATCAGATGGACATTGAAGTTCCTCTATCTCGCTCTAGGAGGTATGCTCGTATTCTCCTGGATGTCTCATGAATGCAAAACATCTGAAAATATACTAAACCTGGGTTGCTTACGATAGTAACTGCTTCGGCTGAGATTGGTGGCCATTTTCTGTTCTCCCGTGGGCTTACCAGTTCCTCGCGTCCTCGGAAGTACTACACCATTCCTAAGGACACCATGGACAGCTTCTTGGAGGACCTTGAGAACTTGGTCGAATTCTTCCTCATCGAATTCCAGCGGATCCTCTTCGTTGAAAACCTCAGCTACACTGTTTCCGTATGTGTCTACACCCAAACCCTCCTACCTATTTGAACTTGATTCAGCGGTGCTTCTAACATCTGCATAGGCATTCGTTACCGCCTTGGTTTCATACTGGCTGGTAATGTTTCTACCCCTGTGGGGCCTGGCTTTGATTGCTACCTGCGTCGCCTACTTGGCCCCGCTGGTTTATATCACCAACAAGGAATTTATCGACAGTCAGCTTGGAAATGCACAGGAAATTATGGCCAACCAAGCTTCCCATGTAAAAGAGATGGCTGAAACTCAAACCGCACAAGCCACCCACATTGTCAAGCAGTATGTCGGAGAGTATCGAGCCAAGGCCAACGGTTACATTGGATCCGCCAATGGTGCAGTTTCAAACGTCACTGCACCTAAGGCTGAGCCTGAGCCCACCCCTAAGGCCGCCCAGGAACCTTCCCAGGAACCAGCTCAGGCACCAGCTCAGAAGACCGTCGAGGAGATCGTCGAGGAAAATTTCCGCCAATCTTCTGCTCCTGAAGCTGCTCTCGAATCTCTCCCAGATATCCCAAAGACAGAGGAACTCCCTGATCTGCAACAAGTCGCCCATGCAGATTTCCCCGAGGCCCCTACTGGCGAACCTTCTGGTGAAGTAAAGGAAGCCGACAAGGTACCCGAATTGGTCCAGATCTCCTAAGCCAAGGTCTTTCCCTTCTTATGTTTCTCAACAGGCTGTGCCTTAGCGAAACGCCGTCTGCCGTGACAGATTTACCCTATCTTACTAGCCGCATCGGCTAGACTACTATAAAAAGTCCTTCCATTACATTCTACCTTTTTACACCCTTGCTCCTTGTGTTTGGACTGGCTGGTTACTCTACCTAACTATTGGACCGATCCCTGAGCAACCAACTCTATTCATTACCCACTTTAATTTTCACCTTGTCAAACATTACCCACTTCTACCTCTGCTTCCCTAAGTGTTTAAGTATTTGTTTCCTTTACTTCGTTCATTTTCTAGTTCTTCTTTGTTCTCCCATTGCCAAAATTCCATTTCATATTGATTCTCTCCCTCTACAAGTTGTCAAAACTGAACCTCTGCCTTTTCTTTTTTTCTGTTTACTTTCTTGTACTAACTTATCTTCAATTTTCTTCTTAACCCAAATTATTAATGAGTGAGTATAGTTAGTTAAAAGTATGTGGGTGAAATGAATCAAAATCCTTCTTAACTACCCCAGAAGTAAATTCTGTAGACTTGAGTAAATGATTCTATTTTGAAGGTGAACTTCATTAATGATTATCTACAAGAACCCAAAGGCATAGTTACCCAGTACTGCAATATGGATTAGAAGAGGATAGTTATTTTGATGGAAAGCGAAGTGACAAAATATGAACCAAATAATTAGTTGAATAAAATGACGAGTCCAAATTATGGGCAAACAATCGATCTCATGGAAGAAGATACGCCCGCCCTCCACCATTTAAATTTTTCCAGCCAGATTCTCATGCATCTGAGGAGACAACTGGCCCCCTGTGAAGATAAATAGAAAAATTAAAATGAAATCAGGAAAGAAAAGTCTCGAGTCAAGTCAGAACAATCTCAACACCTATTGTGACCCCGAGATTTGTGTTTAAATTCAATGCCATTCTTTCTATGCTGATGCACGTCTCTTCTTTCTCGCCAGATCTTCATCTGAGGCTGCAGTGTTGTTGCTCGCTGCCTCCTGCATATGTAGTTTCATCAACATATACGCTGCCCTGGCGTCGTTTGTCAAGGGTAGAGGTGAGTGTCTCCCTTCCGGCTTTGGCTCGGCTTCTGCCTCATGTTTTCCCCTAGTATTCTCCTTTTCCAGCTCATCACCTCCTGTCACAGACCCCTCTGGGTTTGAGTGTCTAGTATGAGCAACGCTTGCATTTGTACCCTCGCGCAGTGTTTGGGTAAGAGGCAAACATAGGGTTGTTTTGTCGTCAGGCATTGTGGTATCTTCTTTGTCTGTTTCTCCCTCGGCCTCGGATTCGAAGCTGCGGTCCACCTTAGACCATTGGGTAAGCACTTTATTCCCAGGCTCATCTTCAGATGTCGATGCAGTAATGCTATCATCGTCGTCGCTGCCGTCATCACTGGCATTCTCAACTTCACTGAAGGCTAGGTATGATCCATGGGGGCGAGTCGACGGTTTAGTGTTATTCATCCGAGAAAGGGACTCAATGATGTCCTTTGGAGACGGAAGAATGTTCTCATTTTCGTTATTCATGAGACGTCTGAAAGGCTGGGAGGTACGTGGCGTATTGGCAGGGGTCCATCCAGAATTTAGTAGGGTTGATGGTGAGTATGCTTGGTGGTCATAGTATGAGGTGCCCCTATGCGGATTTTGGCCTCTGTTATCAAAAATGTTGACATCCTCGTCGTCTGGAGAACTGTCGTGGGATCTAGATCGCAATCTTTTGACGCTGACATGTTCCGCCCTAGATTTCAGGGGTAAGTAGGAAATGTTAGAGCTCGGAAGACGATTGGAGGATGCCTTTTGGAGCTCAAGATTGCGCTGCTGATGTGCTGTAATGGTTGCAGCTCGAATAATAGCAGGGTCAATGATCATACGTCCGAACATCTCATCGGTCGGCTTAATACACTCTGAAAGAAAACCGACTCCAAATAAAGGGGTTAAGGCATATCTAATCTTCCAGCAAAACGTGGCAGCCACCGCTTTAGCAGCCTCAAACGGCATCCAATATCCTTTGGTCATTAGCAAGTCAACTTTTTCTTAGAACGGGGAATTGCCTTGTTACCTTGCGCTGCCAGTGCACCGCCAGTTATACTGTGGCAGATTTCTCTGAGACCGGGGTTGGCATTCAACATTTTTGCGGGCGCAGTCTAAGGTACGAATTCTCAGCTCAATAAGTGTAAACATTGAGTAGTGATTCGATAGAAATCTCACCTTTGAGTAGTTATTGCATCGGAATAGGGAGGTTGTCCGGACCAAACCAATGTTGTAATCCCACATTACGGTGTATACTTTATCATCACCGGGAATTTTGAATTCATATTGAAATACTATGCTCCGTTAGCTTCAAAGACGGGTAGAGTACAGATATACAGGAAACATTACCTTCAAAACTTTCCCTTCCAGTTTTTTCAAGGAATGACTTTTTCTCACTGTTGTATGGTATATGTCTGGGGAATTCTGTGATATGGCCCATTGGATGAATCTCAAACAATTTGTGCGCCTCAGCCAACTTTTCATCCTGCCATTCACAAGGAGGGTACTTGAGAGGACCCCGTACCCTCCCCCTGGTAAAAACGGCTGCATCCTTTGAGACCTTTTGTTTCTTTGCGGGGGGAGAGGACTGGCTCCCTCTTTCGTTCCCAGCAGAAGAACCGGGAGCTAGCACTTTCTGGTTCTTTTTGGTAGAGTCCGGCTCCGGATTGAGCAGAGAGGCGATAGATGTCATCGCGAATGAGAAACTTCCCCGACGTCGATCTTCCAGAATATAACCCCTATCGTCGAATGGGTCGTTGTCTGAGATCGATATTAATTTAACCGTGGAATTGTACAAGGCGGAAGAGTTAAGAGAGTGTCACAGCAGATGGCGCAGTTTCGATAAAAATATAGTTGACAAACAAGGAAAAGGTAGAGCCACGGGATATAGCCTCCTAAGGTCAAGCTTCAGTAATCAGGAATAGCTGATAATGGGGGAGAAAGGCTTGAGACAGAGCTTGAATGATAAAGAAAGTGTCCGGAAGTTGAAAGAGGGGCCAGTTCTAAATTAGTAGTGAAGGGAGGCATAGGCCAGATGCAGGACATTAGATCTAGCGGGAAAAGGGCATTGCGGTTATTGACAGGCAGAAAGGGAGATAATAATGCTAGATGAGAGGATAAGCAATAATCCCAGTGAAAAGATACGTTTCCAGAATTGATATTTGTTTCTCCAGAGACCTCTAAGCTAGTAGCCTTGTAAGAAAGGTCAACTTGCTTTAGGAGAGCAAAGTACATTGGGTACTCTGGAAACTTATGGGCCTGATGTAACTGTTTGTTTGTACCGTGCAAGGGACCACCAGCACTTGATACCAATCATCGAGGCTGCCTGCCACAGTTGGGCAAGCGGTGAAGGGAAAGGGTGAAATAGGAAGCTGTGGAGTTTAGTTAGTGCAGGTCTCACTAAGAAAGACGCAGAATCATGTTTGGCTTTGGTCAATGCCATGAAAGCATTAACAGCCATTTTGCAAGATGGGGCATATTCTATCAGCTAGACGGCTCTGATAGATTCATCCTTGGAATTATTTTTGCAAGTACCTCCGCTCCGATCCCGATAGCTGGGAACCTGCGACATTGTTCCGATGGAATTTTTCCTTCTCCCCTTTGATGTATCAGAAAGGGGGTGTCTATGCCTAGCAGTGCGCGCAAAGTAGGCCTTTAAACCAGGGCCTGCTAAAATGTGAGAATGCCAGGGTATATTCTGCTCGGGATATAGAGATACTCCAACCCTCTCTAAGAGGGAAACGGATGGGTGTGCTTCATCGAGGAGAGGCGCGTTTCAGTCAACGTATGCAGATACCCGAAGATTGCTGGGTGGGCAACACAGGTTCCTTAGGCATTTGAAAATAGGGCGTTTATCTAGTAGGTGACTCCTCTAACGTACTTACATTTGGATCCAGAGCGATTTCGCCTTTGTCCCAGGTTCATTTATTCCCTAAAGGCGAAGCTTTTTATCCCAAAAAAATTGTGTTCCCCATTGCTAGAGACTTCTGGTACCATCCACGTATGACAAAATGAAGAAAGGGCTATCCTTTAGGGAACCCACCAGTCAAATGAATGATTTAGATTCTTCAACCGATTTGGTGATTATGTAAAAACGTATTCTGCTCTCCTTGTTCCATTGTTGGGGTCGCGTCCGATCCCGCTATGGTCCCCCATTGAACCGGTCACGCATAGAGGATACTGCCATAAAACTTAGAGCCCCTTACAAAAAATCAAAACTGACAAAAGTGGGCCAGAAGGTGGTGAGCATGCCAGGAGCCTGAATGTATGGCAAGCTTTGAATCTTCCTATACTTGATCTAGCCAAGAGCCAGAAAGAAAAGAAAGGCGGTTGCCTGATCCGTGGGCGTGTTGCGGGAGGCTGCATGCCTTAAAAGCTCGTGTGACGGATAGATGCTTGTCTGCCCCCACAGTTTCGACTCAACAAGGCCTGAAATGGATACCCAGCGAAGGAGGTTGAAAATGGCAAACATGGGCAGGCTTGATTAAAGGATCAAGCAAAATACAGGGTATCAATAGTGTTGGGTTAGGCCGCCACGGATATAGCTTGAAGCCTTATACCAAGCGGGAGAGCTTGAGATGGTGGCACATAAAGCTTTCGGCCAGCTGGAGGTTTAGCAAATCCCACAGCCCCAGGATATTCCCCGGCAACTGTGCAACTCCACGAACACTCGACAGAATCTCCTGTTCTCCTGTATCTGACGTTAATATTAAGTTAATTATATGGCATATATGTAAGAACCTGCAAGCCTTTTGATGATGTTTTCCAGGGCGTCAAGCATATTAGAAAGAACTCACACTTCATAAAGTACTTCGAAATTAGTTATACTTCTCCCGGCTCTGCTATATCAAGGAGCAAAATAGCTTATCATCCCACGGGCCCTGAATATGAAACAAGATATGTAAAACTGAGCATAATGATAGGACAAATACCCGCATTCCCGTCTCCAGGAGCCCATCGTCTTCAGGGGCCGCGGGAAAGCCTGGCGCTCAACTGAACGATTTGTCATGGCTCCTGTCTTGTGATTCTTCAAAAGTCAACAATCAATCGATTTCACATAGTCGAGAATGTCTGGCAGTAGCATCTTTCACAGTAAAACTCCATTGGGATGCGTTGTGTTGGCCTTTTGGTGCTAAAGGTATCATCGTGTAGGTTGAGGTGAGGTTTAAAAAAAAAAAACAAGGTATCGACTGCAGACTACGAAAAAAGTAAAAAAAGACGACTAGCAGTGCTACAACCGCGAAAGCGACGGCTTTATCACCTTCCACGGCCACAAACCACGACCCCTTAAATTTTAAGAGCCTCCCGTCGGCGAGAATGGTTTCAAAAGGGAGATAAAGGTCTAGATCCATCCTGGTTGTCATGCTGATAGCTAACTTCGCAGGAAGACACAAGTCCCCTGAAAGGGGCCGGGAGCTGCCCTTCGAGTAACGAAATATTGCAAAGTCGTACATTGGACGGGAAAATCATCGTTCTGTCTCTGATGTCTGATGATGAGGCCATGGACGTGGGGGAAACATAGACATGAAATATGGACAAGTATGTTATGGAAAGGTATCTCTATACCATAACTATTATAGCGGAGGAATATTAACAGCTGAAGAATATATCAAATGCATGCCATACAACTGAGAGAAAGATGCAGGAAATAGATAATGAAATAGTTGAATCGAGCCCCATCCCCGAACACCGCCCAGGGGCCCTCCCGTTTCCCCCATGAGGTTGACTCCACGAATACCCCCAACAAATCAATGACCCGTACCCATTAAACTACAGACTTCTCAGTCCGAGAAGTCCTCGCTGGAAACTGCTGCATCTCCGTCTTCTTCACTGCTGTCGTCATCAAGGGCGTACACAGGCTTTTTGGCAGTTGTAGCTGCACGACGTGAAGGTCTCGCCCTAGATGATGGTTTAACAACTTCCTCAGGTTCCGAGTCAAGAATATCATTAGCCATGGCGTCGATATCGTCATCAGACATATCGTCCACTATTTTCTTGGCTTTGGCCTTTTTAGAAGCATAGACCTTTGCTGCAGGTGATAGTTGAAGGGCCTTCTTCTCTTTCTCTGGCGGGGCAGCTACTGCTTTCTTTGGCCGGCCTCGAGCAGAAGTTGTTGAAGCCTTTGCAACAGGTTTTGAAGTTGTCTTGGAACTAGAAGAAGCTTTGGCCTTTGCTGTCGATTTAGCAGCAGGTTTAGGCTCATCTTCGATGTCATCTTCTGCATCTGAAAACACCTTGTTTTCTTTCGGCTTCACAAGGAGAGAGCGCCTCGGAGAGTTTTGAGGGATAAGTTTCGAGTAGTCAGTTGCATCTGCATCAAATTCAATCGTCTCCTTTGCCGGCTTTGCAGGAAGTTTCGAGCTTCCACCGGCCGGGCGAGAAGGTTCAGAGAATAGGGTTGGTCCTGTGGAGACTGTGTTTGGCTTTTTCTTGTCTATCCCCTTGACCATGGCACTGACATCGAAGTCATCATTCTCTTCATCCTCAGATGTACTGAAACCATGATACTTCTTAGGCTGCTGTTTGTTTCGAGCGCTGCGTTGCGTGGTTGGCTTAGGGATCATCTCGATATCCGAGTCATCATCGACCACCTTTGGATTCTCTACAGGAGATGGTTCCCGCTTCGGGTTGTCGGTTCCCATGGAATCGATGTCCATGAAATCTGCATCACTTAGTTTCTTAGGCTTAGCTTTGGCTTCCTTTGCAGCTCCTCGAGATTTCGGCTTCGGCATAACTTCATCCTCAAAGTCATCCGAATCATCTGCACCATCGACACGGGATGTTGCCTTTGGCTTAGGCTTCGCTTTACTAAGAAAATCAAGTAGCCCACCCTTGGGTTGAACGCGATTAACGGTTGCCTTTTTCCCCTTGGGAACGTCAAAATCACTATCATCACCTGAGCCCGCCTTGCGTTTTTTAGCAGCAGTAGCTCGGCTGCCGGTTTTGACCTTGGCCGACAAGCGTCTGCCACGACTAGCAATTTTCTTGCGACGGGTTTCTTCGTCCTCAAGCTGGAATCTCCATTCAGAAATGAACTCGTCAAGGTCCTTCCTCCAGAGATCTTCCTTTGTTAGTTTGATCAGCGTATCAACTTCCATCTCCTTGTCTCCAATTTGGCGTCGTAGTTTGTCAACACGTTCTTGAGTCAGGGACCACAGAGGCATCTGTAGGGTCGAATGTTAGATTGAAAGAGCGGCTAGGAGGGCGTGGTAGAACTTACGCTCAGAAGGTAATCATATGCGTCTGAAGAAACGGCCGCACTTGCGGTCTCCTCCTCTTCGTCTTCCTCTTCTTCAATATCACCAGCTTCCCCTGGTTCGGGAGTACCGACAACCTTTGGGAATGGCTTAAATCCCTTCTCCTGCAGCTCTTGGATGAGAACAGCTTTCTTCTTCTTTGAGATCACCAGTTTTCCATCTATAATCATCTGAACAAAACGGGCTTGGTTGCTTAGCTTGTCAAGCTGGGTTTGAAGTTCCGACAGGAGATATTGCTATAACCACTGTTAGAACATAGAAACTATAGTTGTGATATTATATGCTCCATACCTTTCTTTTCTCATACAGTTTGATACGGACTGCATAGAAGGCCCGCAAGATGTCCTCTGGAGTTTCGTAGCGTGTAATACGACCTTCAGCGTCAAAAGCAACCATGTTCGAAGTTGCTATTTGTTTAACAAGCTTAAACTTTTCCTCAAGGCCTTCCTCAAGGGCCTTCTTCATGTGTTTTTCTTCCATCTGAATGACGAAATGAACATTGGTGTGGGTGTTGTAGTCCTTGTAATCTTTAATAAATGAAGGGACCTTTTCAGCCTTGATGATTTCCTCAAGCTTGTCCTTGAAGTCTTGGGTCCAGGTACGGATAGGCAATTCGGTGATCTCTACTTCGTTGTCTCCGGTTTGTTTGATAATCCCACTGAACTTGTAGCGATCTCCAGACCCAGTAACTTCACCTTTAAAACCGCGGAACCATGGCTTCATTGGAACAAGCTCCTCACCTGCCATCAGCCGTTTGAGGTTATCAACTACTTCTTCTGGATTATAATTGGGGATTGAGGTGCTCCAGCCTGTTCCGATACCATCAGCGCCGTTGATAAGAATGAGCGGAACAACAGGCACGTAAGTTTCAGGCTCAATCACTTTTCCGTCATCAACGTTGTTCACCAATAACGGCTCATCAGCTTGATGGAATAATCGTCTCGCAAACGGCGAGAGACGCGTGTAAATATAACGAGCACTGGCACTGTCAGAACCTCCTTGGAGACGACTTCCAAAGTTACCGCTGGGTTCCAAACAATTGATGTTGTTTGAGCCGACGAAGGTTTGAGCCAGACCAACAATAGTGGTATGCAAAGAGTTATCACCATGCTGATAAGCCGTCATACCAGAGACATAACCAGCAAGCTCGACAACCTTGATGTCCCTTCTGACATTGCGTTTAAACATAGTGTACAAAACCTTCCGCTGGCCAGGTTTCAAGCCATCTACCACTGAGGGAATGGATCGAATGTTATCGGCCATACTGAAAAGAATAAGCTCTTTGTTGATGAAATCAGTATAAGTGATCTGGTCCGTGGAGTGATCAAGGTATGTTCCTGGCTTAAACTGACGAAGCCACTCCTTTCGTTCGTCCGCTTTCTTCTTAGAAAAAGCGAGCTCGATGAGCTCCGCCTCCTTATCCTGCAGTGTGTGAAACTGTTTCAGGTGCCTGTCCAAATCTTGGAAGTAAATTTGGGCATCCTCTGTTGAACTAGTACCCAAACCTTTGTAGTACTTCTTTTGCCATTTCTTATCATGCGCATGAGCTTCCTTCCACTCCTCATATTCTGGAAGGGTGAAGAAAGATTTGGTGTGAGTTGGATTTTTAGGATCTCCCTTCCAAACTTTAACAATAGGCGTGATGAATTCGATCAGGAAGCCGGGTATTTTCAAGAGAGTTGGGAATGCAACCTGAAGATAATTGATGAGTAAGCCCTTGATATGACTGCCGTCATGATCCTGATCAGTCATAATCATCAAATGGCCGTACCGGAGGCCTCGAGTATCAGTATATTCCTTTTTATGCTGTAAGCCAATGAAATTTTTGATGTTCTGGATTTCAGCATTCTTCGAGATTTGGTCTACGGAGGCATCTCGAACGTTGAGAAGTTTTCCTCGAAGTGGAAATACTCCAAAAAGGTCAGGTCCCACAACTGCTCGGCCGGCCATAGCCAAACCCTTGGCGGAATCACCTTCAGTTAGGATGAGAGTACAGTGATGTCCATCTTTAGTGCCGGCCTTATTTGCATCTGTAAGCTTCGGGTTATTCATACGGGAACGGCGGTTTCCGTCCGTTTTCTTCAAAATTTGATCAGCTTTCTTTTCTGCAAAGTGGAGGATATCGTCCATGACCCGGGTCTTCATGACCTTCTTCAAAAAGTCATCGGAAACAACACATTTGCTTCCGAATTGGCTTGGTCTGGTAGTCAATTGCTCTTTGGTTTGAGAAGTAAAGGCCGGATTGACAATCTGGGAATTGACGAAGAGGAAGATGTGGTTCTTGATCTGGGTAGCCTTGAGAGTTGCCCCGGTCTTGTTTTTCTTTTTCAGAGCGTCAGCAAGCTTGTTGCAAATTTGGTCACTGATGTAGTTAACGTGTGTTCCACCAGATGTTGTTGCAATGGAATTGACAAAGGAAACCTGTTGGAAAGAGCCATCCGATACGGTGAATCCAATTTCCCAGCGCCGGTCCGGGCTTTCTGTAATTATATCATTTTTATCAGAAGCCGAAGTGGGATCCTCTCCTCGTTCAGCCTTGATTGCTTTGGTGTACATTTCCATGTACTTTTTGAAAGACTTGATGGGGATCCTTGTGCCGTTTAACTTCACTGCTGTCCCACAGGTGCCAGCCATGTCGTAGACCCTTCTTTTAACCAAGGCTTCGAAATCATCGTCCATGCCGTCCATGCCGAACTTTGCAAAGTCAGGCTTGAATGTAACCTTGGTATAGTCATCTCCCTTGCATTCAGTAATCTTGGCCTTTCCCATAGTTGACATGTTGTTCGTCCATGTGAGTTTAAACTTCTTTTTCTGCTTAGAGTCAGCAGTTTCGACTGTAAATTCCTTACTAAAAATGTTACATAGTTTCGCTCCGTAACCGTTTCGTCCACCGGTAACTTTTTCTTGCATATCGTTGTAGTTCGACGAGGTCAACAGATGACCGAAAATAAGTTCGGGGATGTAGATTTGCTCTTTCTATAAAAGAAATTAGCATTACGCTTTTAAATCATGCACTATAACTAATAAGGGGAAGATACATACCTTGTGGATCTCTACTGGAATACCACGACCGTTATTCCAGACGCTGATTTCACCAGCTTCCTTGTCCAAGGTAACCCTGATCTCACTCATGTTCGGGTCATTTTGTTTGTTGTCCGCCGCGTTAACCAGGATTTCATCGAAGATTTTGTATAGACCAGGAACGAAAGAGACCTCTCTATACTCCATCAACTCCGTTGTTGAGTTATAAACCCACATGTGCTTCTCCGTTCGTTCAACTGAGCCAATATACGTGTCTGGGCGTTTGAGGATATGTTCCAATTGGGTGATCTAAACCTGACATTTAGTGACAAGAGGGTGTAGTATGGTGATATGATAGGACTTACCTTCTGGTACTTCTCGGATGAGCCACCTCCCTCGACGGTTTCCGTGGTGAAAGACCCGTTCTCCACATTAGCAAGAGGTTTTGAGGCAGCCTTTTTGGGAGCAGCCTTCTGCTTCTTAGACGCATTAGGGGGAGTGCTGTCCAGAGCGTCTGCATCATCGGAGTCCGCATCCTCCGCTACTGAGTCCAGCTCATCTTCGGGATCAGGGAGGGCAGTCTTCTTAGACGATGTGGCTTTTGATGTCGTCTTGGGTTTGAGAGTAGTTTGGGTTAATTTTTTAGGAGCACCCTTTGGTTTGGGGGCGGCAGCAGCTTTCTTTGGGGCCGCCTTTGCCTTTGGTTTCTATCATGGACACCATCAGTACCAGTATGAGTACCAATATGCAGCAAACAACAAGCAAATTGAACACTTACCGGGGCAAAGTCAGAGCTGAAGCCGTCGCTCTCGAAATCGCTTCCAGTCGACATCGCGCCGGTATTGTCTCAGCAGTGTCTCCAAGGGGCGTTCAGGGGTCGTCTGGCGGGTGGGGGGATTGAGTAGCCGTGTCAAGAGTTCAGAGCAGAATAGGTCTGGCTATTGACCTCAGGCTCATTCGCTCTGCATGTCGCTCCAGGTAATAAACGAGTGACAGATATCGCAGATGTCGAGAAACTCGACCGTGGTTGTCCTTTTGTTGTCTTTATGTTTTCTGCTTCGCGGGAGTTCCATTGGCGGCCCATAAAATTTGGGCGGATGAACGTCGGACCGATAAATGTCTACCCGAATAGGAAATACATAAACACTTGGCGCCTCTATCGATAACAACTGCGTTTTCTCGCTCTTTTACAGCAAAAAAACTGACGGCGCTGGAGCAGTGGCAGATTCACGCTCAGTAATTGCTGCATCCACCTCGAGGGACACCGCCTGCTGCATTGTTCTTATTGATTGCGACTTCTTTTGCGCGACATCATAATTTCACGTGATGGCGGGAAAATGGGTTTACGTAATAACTATCATCCGGATGACTAAGCAAGTCGCGTTGTTTTGATCCAACTTTCCCTTTTCGGAGGTGGAAAAACACATCGAAACATCCAAAGATCCAACTTCGACTTCGACTTCGACCTCCAAGGACAACGTCGACAGACAGTCGGCTTGGACACTTTACACAGCGCATTTCAAGTTTCAGACAGCCTCATGGAGTGTTTCGTACCTCGACGCAGCTGAGATTCCGTGTTCTCTGCACTCTCCGCCATCAAGGGCGGTTTGTTTACCCTCGTTTAACCTCCTCGATTAACTACGACTCGTTATCGGCCATACCAGCTATCTCAACCACCACACCACAGATCAGCTATGGCGAGTGCTATAGCAAGGGCGCGTAAGCCCGTTGGCTCGAAGGAATGGATTGCCGAAGAAAAAGAGAACTGTAGGCAATTACTGCAACAGGAGCTGGACGAAGTCGAGTTCCCAGTGCGACATGAGATGGACTGGCTCAACGAGCATATGGCGGAGATATTCACCCGTGATCAGCTGTATGGCCTATTCTCATGCTCGTCTTTTGCATATGTTCCTAGATTTTGCTCCCCCGTCTAACCAGTCAAAGCAGCAGCGTTACTGAGCTATTCAAGACTCCTGGAAAAATGCGCGGCAAGACCCCCCGAACAGCAAGAAAGATTCTTAAGACGCCGCGAGAAGCGCGAGTAGTAAGTTACCCTGGATATATCGCATACCTACATATCTCCAGTGATATTGTTACTGTGAAGTAGCACGCATTTCTAACATTGTCGTAGCCCTTGAGTGATATATTTTCCTCTGGACACAATGCTCGACACAGCTCCGGACCCACTAATCGATTTACAAATGAGATCGCAAAGCTTTTGACTAGCAACGAAAAGCTGCGGTCGCCTCTTCCAAGCACACAGAATTCGAACCCGAATTACAATACCGACTCTGGCTACCATGGAATGCCGGATTCCCTCCCAACAGACACCAACGAACCGGATCATCAAGTGGAGGTAGAAACAGCTACCCAAGTCATCGAGGACTCGACAATACTACCCGTCGATGGAGGCCCTAAGAGCCCTGCAAATGTTCGTCGTATTACCGAAGACTCGTTTCACTCCGCGAGAGAAGTTGCACCAAGCAAGGAAAACACGGTGGAGCCAATGGAGTTTGAATATTCTCGCAATATCCCAAAGAACACAGCTTTGCCAAAGCAACATCCTCCCAGCATCTCTCCTCACCACGAGAAACAGAACGAGAGCCAGAATCACCCTCAGCCCTTGGCCTCACCTCATCAACCAGAAACTAAGGAGGATCTGGACGATCCTAATTTCGATGATATAGGCTCACCTTCAGATGGTCCTACTCCGGTTCGAGCGCCAATTCGAAAAAGTAGTCTTACATTTGCATCGCTACCAGCAAGAGAGCCACTCACCACAAAGCGCAGTATGGGGGGACGTATGTCCAGGACTAGTCATATTGATCCCCCTAAGATGAACATGAGCATAGTCGGCCAGTCCGGCTACCTTGGGAGGCAGACGGGTGGGAACCGATTGACACAAATTCTCTTGGATAATGAGAGGAACAACAAGCCTTTGGAATCTAATGACAAGGCCGGAACTGATGATTCGGCTGAGAATGACCATGATTCTGATGCAGAAAATAAAGCGCCAAAACGCTTGAACAAGTCATCAACACAGCTTTTACACGAGAAAATCAATATGTTAGGGAAGTCTCAGGCCCCTCGTACTACCAAATCCATTGCTCCCGCTCCATCGCTAGGTACACAGCAACTTAGCTATCCAGACCTTCCACCGCCTACTGCTGCCTCTTCAAATGATAATACACAGAACGCCTCTATTTCTAGGCCCTCGTCTGCCATGGAAGCTGCCCACGGCTCCCCTCAGAGATTACCACCGACACCAAACCATTTTACTTTTCCCGCTGATAAGTTCCAACCAGAGGCCCAAATTTATAGGGACACTCCTAGTCCTGCTTCAAGAGCGCCTTCAGCTCATCCTGTTTCTCCTGAAAGGCGCTCGCCAGGCCCAAAATCATTCCGGCCTGGAGGCTTTTTCCACAGCAAATCTTCTTCTGTCCCTTCATTTCCTATCTCCCCACGACCTGGTACGGCTGGCTCCGCCCAAAAAGCACCATCTGTTGTGGATACACCTGGCGAGTCCACTACACCGGCCGGTTCCCCTAAACGCTTCGATGGCCCGTTAAGTGCATCTAAATCAAAGCTTCAATCCTTAATGAAAAGCGCTAGAGGACTTTTTGGCAGCAGCGCGAGCGTTTCCGCTACCGCCAAGTTGGAGACTCTTTCACCTACTTCGCAGCGCACCCAGGCTAGTACACACAACCAGCCTCAGGCAACAGCTACTGTCCCACCAAGCCCAGCTAAAGCTCCTCGAACTCGTGGCTCCATCGAAAGGGAACATAGACGCAAAGAACAAGAGCTAAAAGATCGCAAACAGATGGAAGAACAAGAACGAGTCAGGGAACGTGAGAAGCTACAACCAGAACCCACCAAGCCTGCAAACTTACCCTCCAAACCTCAAATCCTAGATAAAGTGGAGGTACCACAGCATTCAGAAAATCTCCATGCTCGAAGGGTAGAGCCAGTGCCCAAGGCAGAACCTGCACGTCGTGAGCTTGAGCCCAGTACAGAAGAAGGACAAGGAGCAAACACTCATGCCGCATTACAACCCCACCCGCTGCCCAATGAAGGTCGTAGGCCTGCAAAAGCCATTAGAGAAATGCGAAAGCCTAAACCACAGCCTGTCAACATACGCGTAGGAACTCTATCCTCACAGCGAATAAGGGCAGAAACGGCAACCCCGGCACCCCCTTCAGCCCGTGAACCGACTGTCCAGCAAACGTCGGTTTCCAAAAAGGCCAGCAATGCCTCTCTTCTCACCACGGCATCTTCTAGTGGTAGCCTGAAGAGCTCTGCGTCTTCTGCGTCGTCGAAATCAAAAGCCCTTTCAGCTGTGGAAAGAAAGAAGGAGCAGGTAAATGCTTCTAATGCCATATTTTTTTTATCTCATTTGATACTTACTTATGTGAACAGGAACAGCGAGAAGCCCAACGCAAGCTTGACCAGCGCCGTGAAGTCGATCGTAAGAGACTTGCGCAGCAAGAGGAAGCCAGCCGACAGCTACAGCAAGATAAAATCCGCCACGAGCGAGAGCAAACTGTTACCGACGATCCAAAGACGCTTGCAAAGAAACAAGCGATTGAGAAGAGGCGACTCGAGAATGCCAAAAGATTGGAGCAACAGCGTGGTCGACAACAGACTCCGTCAAATGATACCGTATGTGTGGTTATAAGCCTACTACCCATGTGTTGTTTGATGCCTCACTAACCCTATCTTAGAGTTCTGTTATACAGAGCGAACGTTCAATTCTCAGCGAGTCCCAAGGACCGGCGCGACCTGGCTCAAGGCTAGGCAGTGTTCAGCCTCCAAGCCGACCACATAATTACCCCCCACCAAACCCAGCAAAGCCTCCCAAGCGTGCACACGAGGAGCAAAATAACGTCCGACCCCCTGCTACAAAAGCCGGCATTGTTCATCAACTTGATGGCAAGCGGAGAAAGACTGAAGAAGAGATTGTTGCTCCTGAACCCACCGCGGTTCGACCAGCTATGGCTCCTCCTATCCGTCAGTCCAACGCGTCGAAACTTAATAACTTCCCCAGTGTCTCCAAATACCCAGCTGCACCTCCTGTGAATTCGATGCAAGGCTGCCCCCCAATATTTAAGAACTCTGTCGGCGCACAAAAACCCTTTCAAACCCTTCCTCATCAAACCCAAGGCAGCCGGCCGGCCCATCCCTTGGAGATGGCAAAATATGCCAATGGAAAGATTCCCTTTGCAGAACCTAATAATGTTCCACCCCAGCAGAGCTCCGCTCATCTCAAAACACCTGGTCAAAACAAACATGTCATACCTAAATCTTCTCCAGCCTATCCAAACGGCGAAAACATTAAACTTCCTGATATTCCTACTGACAGTGAAGACGAAGACTCCGATGCTGAGCCATGTCATGTCCCAGACTGGGCCAAGGAAGAAAATCTCCATAACATTCTTGTTCAGCAAGAAAGCCAGGATGGAGAGATGGTCTTCGGCCCAGCTGCTCCCCTGCGGATGGAGGAGATCTTCAAAGGCAATAAGGAGAGATTACGCAAGTTCCGTGATCGTACTAGCAGTGCGAATTGGAACGGTCCGGATGGCTTGACACAGGATGAGATTAAGTGGGACATGGCTGAAAGAGAAAAATTGAAGAACAACGGCGGCTGGGTCTTCAGCCCTCATTGAACCCACATCAGTCTGCTTTCATAGGGACGAGTTATTTACATATTTTCATTTCGGGATAACGATATCAACACGCGGTTGGACAAGGATCCAGCGACTTTTTTCCAGTGTTGATTTGACACTTTGAGTATCAGACACCTTATTTTGATTGTTTTGTTATATTGCTAATACATGGCGAGGGGGCTTTGACTCTACTTCTCTATCTATACTTGTTTTGTACTTTTTTGAATGTGTGGAGTTTAGATTTTGATTGCATACCTATATGGTTTTTACTACATATTAGCCTGCTGCGGAGTTTGTGGTTTAATGGCGTGGCAAATCAATATAGCTCTTTGTGTTAGTGGAATTACAGATTATTACATTAAGGAAGTTTGGCATATACATCTTGAACCTATAAAAAGTCCCAATTCCTACTGGTATAAAATCAAAGAAAGACCCCAAAGGACGTTGTCGGTCTCTAGTAATATCCGGTAAAGCTAGTAAACCAACATCCGGTCGCACTCGTACATTGTCCCATAGTTATAGCCCAGACCAATCAATCTAGAAGTAATCCAAGGAAATAAACCCAATGATAAGAATGAAGACAAGAAAAGAAGAAAGCTTTTTATGGCATAATGTTACAAGATTCTCACTCATCTTCCTCAGGCTCTACATCGCCTATTTCGACATCTCTATCTTCCATCATAGCATCGGCATTGGGGTTATTTGTATCATACGTGTCTCGGCGCTTTCTGTCGGGAGTATGGCTGATCGTCCTCCATCCTAAGGCTGAAGTAGGATCTTTGACATATTCAGACATTGGGAACTAGATATGGTGTATGTTAGCACTGTGTTTGTGTTTAACTTAATAGTCATATATAGATATGGACTCAACATACGTAGTGGTCGTTCTTCTTCATTGTAACAACCCATGGCACGTTATCGAATGTGACAGCGCGCAGACGGAAGTATGTATTGTTCGGGATCATGTTGACTTGCTGAATGAATGAGTCCAGATCCGGTGTCTTTACACCATTGACAGCTGTGATGAAGTTGGTTGGTGACAAGCCGTATTGATAGGCAGGTGATCCGCGGCTCTAAGGGCAGGTACAGACATTAGTTTGATAATGCAAACGTACAGAAAGCTATAACAAGAAATCATACCCTTGCGCTGACATATACGTCGGAGTGCAGTTTAGATATCTGCTGTCTGACGGCGTGGTGGGGTTTCTGCAAGACTGCTCCGCAGAAGATAAGTGCTCTGTCGGTCTCAAGGTCCTCTGTAGGAACGGTTTTGATTTGTATCTTCATCTCTTCGCCGTTACGCACGATGAGAGCGTCTAGCGACTCTTGATCGTACATAGCGTCAAAGTCCGAGACGCGAGTGACAAGTTTGTCATTCAGTGTGAGAATAATGTCTCCTTCCTCCAGTGGCCTTGTATCCGTCGACGAAGGAGAAGCACAGTCTACTTTTCGTACCATGAATAGCTCATGGCGCGCTGGGTTAGCGATGGCAACCTTGCGGATCCATTCTTCGGATACGCCCATGACGCGAGCCTGGCTCATCTGGATAACGTAGGTTTCCATGTCGAGGATGCGAAGCTTGGGGATGGCACCGCTTTGGATCTGAGAAAGGACTGGGAGGAGAGATGGTGTAGCTAGACCTAGATGATACTCGACATCTTTGTGAGAGCTTTCGGTTCGTTCACCCAGGTAGTTGAGCCAGAGAGCCTCGACGACACCATCTTCTCCTAACAGAACACCGCTGGTGCACTGGGTGCTGAGTCCTGTATCGACAGTGATAGCATCCAGGTTGATAGCACGGTATCGTGGAGCAGCGGCATTGGGCGGGATTGCAACAGTGGTTATATCCGTGACAGTCGTGGCCGTTACAGCGATACGGAAGTTCTGGTTGAAGCCAACGAAGAGAGTTCCGGCACCCTGCTGCATGTATTCTGTGCTCAATTTGGCGGATTTGACGGGAGCCTGAACCAGGCTGGGATCATACTGGATGACCGTATAGTTCTGAAGCGGGTGCATGAAAACAACCTTGCCTCTGACTATGATGGAATCAGCGACTGTGATGTTAATGTCACAGAGATCAAATGGAATGATGGCTCGGGAAATAATGACAAGCCCCTTTTCAGCATCGATGACCAGACCGAAACCATGAGTCCTGGCTTGTGGGAACCCATCGAGCCTGACGGGCATGGTACAAGATACGCGGACAAAGCTGCGAACAATATCATTAGCAGCAGCGTGTTTGACACCATTGAGATGGATAAAGTCTGCACGTCTGGGAACAGGAGGTTCTGCAGGCAAAGGATCGGCCAGGTCAGTGAAATCCCAGAGACCAGTAGCATCGTTTCTCTCGGCAAGCCTCATCTGAGGGTGCCAATGGCGGTCTATATGCACGACACTAGTTCCTCTGGTATGAAGATCACGGATATGCTTGTATGATAGAACCACTCTTGCACGATCTAAGAAAGTCAGTATAAAAGAAAAGTAGAATGGGAATATGACAGTTAGCCGGGGAGTGGAATATCATACCAGGTATGGTCTTCATAACTTGGATGAATTCATCCAAGTTCTTGGTCGGTCTCTTGTCAATGGCATCAATAATCCAGCCGGAAAAAGCGTTTTCCAGCTTAAAAGAGCCGGCGGCTTCACAGACGTAGACTCCACGGCAAGGAATGGAATACAGTCTTGCCTGCTGGTACGATAGGTCATGGAAGATAGCACCAGCAACGCTGACATACCGTGAAGGAGTAATGCCATGAAGGTCCTGTACCTGACACTTGACCTCGAGATCCTCGCCGCCTCTTTGTACCAACAAAGTGACGTCCTGTCCTATAGAAGAGTCCAGGATGGCATCTAGCTTGACGAACTGAGTGAGGAGATCTCCATTGACCTTGACCAGGACGTCACCTTCCTGCAGTTTACCATCTCCGGGGCCTTCTGGAAGCACAATCTCAGCAACAAGCATGCCGGTCTCCTTGGGTGCAGCTGACCGTACAGCAGCCTCCCATTCCGGAGACAGACCAAGTCTTCGACACTCGTCAAACGGCTTGATGATCCATTGGGTCTGAATGGTACCGCGGGTCACTGGCTGGCCGTTTTGGATGCACTGCAATGCGCGAAGGGGCCGGTCTAGAGGCAGGAAATAATCCGTGGCAGCACCGTCTGCACGTCCACCGGCCTGCAAAGCAATAGCGTAGCCATCAATATCGACGACCGGACTGCCTGAGCTTCCACCACTGGCTGCAGCAGCTGCCTGGATGTAGTTTGTGTTGAAATCACTGTACCCTTCACCGTACTCCGGGGCGTTTCGATCCAGCCGACTGATGACGCCGGACAGAATGCTCAGCTTCTCTCCTGCGTCGTTTCCTACCACTCTGATCTCTACGCCTACTTTGGCTGAGTCAGGCCGTAGCTTCAGCTCGGTCAGGGGCATATATTTGATTGCGGCAGGGTCGAATTTCAGGATACCAAAGTCGTGGACGGGGTCTCGATATATCGGCTTCACATCACACTGCAAACAAAAATTAGCATTCCCCCCCGTAATAATGACCGAAAAAGCAGCAGAAGACCCTACCTCTTCATGGTTATCGAAGATGCAGTATCCCCAAAAGGGCCCGGCGCAGACCACATGCCTGTTGGTCATGATATAGCCGTTCTTCGCATCGACCACAAACCCCGTTGCCTGGCTGGCCATGGACAGGTCCGTATCAAACGACGCGGTCTGGCAGAAGTGAATCGAGACCACGCACCGCACGACCTTCTCGATGGTCTCCTGCCACTCTGCCGAGTCTGTCTGCACCTGGCTGACGGGCAGCATGGCTCTCGCGGCGGCCTCGGGGTCTGTCTCTGTCTCGTCGTAGGCGTACATCGTCACGTCTCCGGACGGCTGGCGGTCTTCGGAGGGCGTATGGCTTGCCGCAGCAGCAGCAGCGGAATCTGGTCTGAAGTGTTTGGCGGACGGTAGAGACATGGCGCTGCCCGAGTGCTTTCGTTTGGCGCTGCCGTTCATCTCCATGGCGGCGGTCGTAGATGGCGACGGCGTGGATTCTTCAGAACAAGGCCGACTTCACCGTCCTTGCGTCCCCTTCCCGTGTCTCTGTCTCCTTTTTTTGTCTGTGATGATCTCCTTCTTGAGCTGTCTCTTTAACGCGCGGTCGTTTAGTCGGCGGTTCGTGATATAGCTTTTTTTTTTTTTTTTTTTTTTTTTTTTTTTTTTTACTGGTCTTTAACTGGCTCGATAGCAGGCGACAGGCTGAGCACAAACAAAACCCCCTGCGGTTTGCTGCGAGAGCTGAGCGGACGGCGAAGAGTCAGTAGGAATGGATACAGGACAGAGGCAGAAGCGAGATGCGAGCAAGCAGCCGGTCCCGACTGACGTTGTAGCGGCTTATCAGGTTCGGCTGGCGATAAAATCCCATATTATTTACTTTTCGACTGAGTTCATCCGAGGATGCAGCCAGTCATCTGCGCAGAGTCAGGCGATGCCCCTTTTTCTGACCGCTGCAAATGTTTTATATTAGATGGTGTGTTTACCGTGTCGATGAGGAGCCGGGGAGTCCCATGTCGGTGTTTCTGGCGTCTCTGCGGCTTCACTGCGGCTGCTGTTGGAGTCGCAGCCAAAATTGGTAGAGAAAGGCACAACTGTTCAATTTACTCTCGATAGAAGAGGCGGAGTTCTATAGTACAAGAGGCGGGATTATATATTCCAAGTTCGTCTGGGTTTTTATTCTCTTCTCTCTAGATATACATATAACCAACACATTCCATGCTTAAATCAAGGCCGCCGCAGGGGGACCCCAATGGACCTTTGTCCTTTGTATATAATACACTGTTGTAGTCGACACGTTATAGATTTTCCCTTAGCATCGTCAGCCAGTTAGTTCTATTCTGGATGTCTCATGTCACTGCATGGTTGGCACTATGGGAGCTCATTCAGGCGGCGCAAGTTCCTTGAACAGGGAGAGTCTCGACAGAAGCTCTCACCAGAGACCCCGGACATGTCATATAATCGTATGGGGGGAGGGGATGTTATATACTCCCAGTGTAGTTTCTGGAGTCTGCTCTGATGCAACACAAGGGTCGCCTTACGAGACATGGGATAGGAGCGAGTCTGAACATTTCATTCTGGACCTAGAAGGGGGGGGGGGGGGCGTCTCATCCAGCAGCGGAGCCGGGATAGGAAAAGTCGGGCTGTTGAATCATCTGAATCTGGCCCTGGCGCTGCCGGTAGATCTGCTGCTGCTGCTGCTGCTGTTGTTGCTGGGGAGTCATTGGACTACCTATGCCAGTTTGTGGCATTGGTGTCGGGACAGGGGCAGTGGTAGTGGTAGTGGTAGTGGCGGCAGCGGCGGTGGTGGTGCCTCCAGGGGTGGTGGTAGCGGTGAAAAGCTCGTTGAGAGACGTGTAGAGCTGGTTGAGCGAGGGGAGATGCGGTGGCGGTGTCATGATAGCGGGAGTCTGGGGCCCGGTGGCACCAGTCTTCTTTGCGCGGTCTGCCACCGTTGCGAGGTAGGCGAGGTTTGCCTGAAGCCGGCGCATGCAGTCGACGTATTCCTGCGAGGGCTTTCCCGCAGGCGCAACTGCTTTTGCGCTATCAGACCCATTGCTTGACTTTTGGGCGTCCTGGGGCGACGATGGGGAGCCCGTGGTACTGGGTTGGTTCGAAGCAGGCCCAGCCTTGCCGCTGGCCTGTAGGTTGACCACTTCCTGTAATAGAGCCGAGTTGATGTCTAGAAGAATAGTGACACGGGCACGCTCGCTCGCGGGCGGCTGCCTGTGGTGAAAGAGTGCTGCTGGGTGTCTGGGTAAACGGGGCGAGGCCTGAGATGGACCCTGCATCTGGGCCGGTGTCTGTGATGTGGGACGGTTTGGGGTCGAATACATGGCCTTGGAGGACGGCATAGCCGTCGTCATGCCGCCCTGGGCCTGAGGGTCAGCAGAGGGCGAGCGGGTGGATATATCATCCATTACAGGCTGGGGATGCGCTGTCTGTGGTATAGAACTGGGAATGATCGGGTTTGTTGTGAATGGCTGGGTGGTAAAGGGAACTATACAACGTAGATTAGCTTTTTAGCATAAACAAAAAAAAAAACTAAAAACAAAACAAAACATAACATAACAAGCACCCGGATATAAAGCGAAGTAACGATAGAACAGGGAAGGCCATTGAGGAGAAAACCCCCAAGGATATGAAGCACATCCTGGATGCTGCACCACACACACAAGCCTATCCACCCATCCACACCCACCACCTGCTGGTCGGACAAGAATACACAACCACGGCGAGGATCTGCTAGGAACAGCAGGGTTGGGAGTGGGCCAGGGCCACCAACCAAGAGCGGACAGCACAAGACAGACGGAAAATATAATGACCATAAAAAAACGGGTAGGGGATTTCTCTGGAGAATTGGGAAGGTCGAGCTGCCTACATACCGTGAGACATGGGGGTAGCTGAAGCCATCATGGGAGCTACGCTGCCGGCAACGAGATGCTGAGGGACGATCTGAGGCTGCTGCGGGAGATGGCCTGGCTGCTGCTGCGGCTGAAGCTGCGGCTGCGGCTGTTGTTGTTGGTGCTGTTGGTGCTGCTGCTGGAGATGCTGCTGGAGCTGGGGATGCTGCTGCTGCGGTTGAAAGGACGCGGGCGGCTGGGGATAGGCGCTTGGGTTCTGGTAATACGGCGGTAGATGGTGAGCAGCGCCAGGCAGGGGCTGCTGCTGCTGCTGCTGCTGCTGGGCGGCCTGGAAGTAGGCGGCCGACGCGTGGGGGCCGACGACAGACGAGGAGACGGGCAGCTGGTGCGCCTGGAGCTGCTGCTGGTGAAGCTGCTGCTGGAGATGCTGTTGCTGCTGCTGCTGTTGGACATGCTGCTGCTGCTGCAGAGGGTGGTGGTAGACCATGGGCGGCTGGTTCATGGCTGGCTGTCGAGGCTCGCGCTGGCCGGCGAGTCCACGGCAGGCAAAGGCAAGGTTCGAGGGCGAGGGCGAGGGCGAGGGGAAACAGACGGCGGCGGCGGCAGAGTCGGGTCGGTCTTCGCAGTGCGCGTGGAGGAGGGAGAGCGTCGAGTCAGCGCTTCTGCAGGCTGGGACTTGCTGGACGTTGACTGGGCGGCTGGAGAGGTCGAGGTTTGGCCCCCTGTGGACTTTTTGGCGGCTGGCGTATCAGCAGCGCCAGAGCATCGCGGACGGGCTGGCGAGCGACTCGAGGGGCGATCAGCGTCTTCCTCGCTCGTCTTCTGCCTCTCTTTCTGCCTCTCTTTCTTCTAGCTTGTCTTCTCGTCCGTCTCGCTCGGCCTTTTCGCTTCTTCTTCTCCTTCTTCTTCTCCTTCTGCTTCTTCTTCTGCTTCTTCTTGCTGGCGTTTTTCTTCTTCGTCGTCGCTGAAAATCGACTTTTTTTTCTCCCAGGTCAAGTCACGTGTAAAATACGAAGCACGTGAAAAATGACTAATACAAGCTCGAGGTTATGTAGTCACGTGCAAATTTGTTTATCTAAGCAGGTAAGTCTGGATAAAGTTCGCCCTATTCCCTGTTCGTCCAGCTGCTGCCGTTTTCGGCTTGGCTCGCCCGCCGACCCCACAGCTGCCGCTATCAAAGTCTATCGCTCAAGATGCGAGTATATGAAACTACATAGGCCGTTACAGTGGCATGCTGCAATAGATCTACAAGAAAGAAGGAGAGAAGAACGCTTTGCATTTCCGTTTGATCGTAATCTCGCAGTTGAGCTTGCTTTCAATTTGTGGAATGTCTATACCACTCGAGAGTAAATCCGAGTTGCTCTGGCTCTCCTGATGAAAGCATACGAAGAAGTCCGCGCTTCTCCAGATCCTGGCAGAATGTCCTTTTGGAAGAGATATCCTCTAAGTCGTTTTGGCAGCTTTCACGGCTACAGCCATCTAGTTCTCCACCATTAGTTATTTCGGCTTCGGTCTCTCTGCCGTACTTTCTTCCAAGGAACGTCTCTGTGTATGCGGCCAAGTCTGCGATCGTGGCATAACCATTGTGCCAACATTTATCGATGATCTCGTCAATTAATGGATTACCATCTAGCTTCGGAAATTCCATGTTCTGCAATAGCTCCACAACTTTGCGTCCGTGCTCTTTAGGATCCTCAGTAAGACATCGATCATCGTAAACCTCAAAGCCGTAGTTTATAAAGTAGTATAAAGAGCCAAGGGCGAATTGTTCGGTTCGACAACCTAAGAAACCAGAACTCCCACATGATCCTTGGTCCTGTTCATTACCATTGAGTATTCTTCCATATGGGGCCATACAGGTTTCAAAATCAGTCCCAAATTCTGCAGTACAATCAAAATCTGAAAGTTTTAATCGGTCGCGATCAATCAAAATATTTTCGGGTCGTAGATCACCATGGGCGAGATTAAGCGACTCCAGAAAGGCAACGGCCTGAGCGAGGTCGTTCATCCATTCTTTTCGGAGAGGTAGAGGTTCCAGTTTCTCCACTTTAGTAACCACGTAAGATTGCGGGTCCCGAGTATGATTATTTTGTATCCTAGAACAGAGGGTGACGTCTTATAAAGCGGTTAGTCAGGACAATTATAGCTAATAAGGATTATTATACCTCTCATGTACTCAAGGAAAATGCCGTTATCCGTATAGAAGAAACACTGCACTATCGAAGGGCATGTCGGTCGCTGAGAAAAAATCTCATATATCTTGAGTTCCTTCTGAAATTGCTCTCTTTCAAAGTCGCCAGATTTCGGTATCTTCACCACGATGCGGGGGTGGACCTCGTAGACGAAGGAGATGCCTCCTTTCCAGATCCAGTGCACCTCAGGGAACAGCTTCCGGATACTCATATTGATATCATGTAGCAAGTGGGACGAGAATTTGCAATGAAAAAAAAAAAATTCATGCCGTACGTATAGGAGGTGAGTAGCGAGGAGAAAGGGATGTCCAGGGGAAGGTTGGATTAGTGAGCTTTCTCGTGCCTGAACTTTGTTGGTTCCAAAACTTCTCCGTGCCTAGTTATAAAATCCCGTCAACTGATTAGTTAATGAGTTATCAGCCCGGGGTGGTCTTAATATGAACCAATAGTATCAGTTAATCGAGCTCCTATCTGGCACTTTGCATATATAGTTTATTATTGTTTCTCCTTTTCATTTTAATGTTAGATAACTAACTAGTTGTCCTCTAAATTAGTTATTACAAATACAAAAGTCAACCCATTCTAAGCAGGCACTACATCAAATGAGACCTGTTTTGTGAGGTCAGAGCAGACAACTTGCCACCAAGGCCGTATCCCTCTGTACTCAGTCACAGTCAGGTCGGCTCGCCATGTCCAGGAGGCAGTTCTATTTGCCAAACGCCATAATCTTGGCCTAGTCTACCGGGCGCAACTCATCATAGTCAAGGCTTAGGAGTTAAAATTTCCCTCTTCAGGCACATTGCTATCCAGTTGATATGTCAAATGAATAGATAGAGAAGAAGCTACAGCGGCTAATTTTATTTTTACTGCAATCTGCAAATTTTGCTATCCTTATATGATAACGAGTTGATCCAAGACCCTGGAATACCAAAGAGAAGCCATATTTCAAAGTGTACATCGCCATCGAATTGATCAAATGCTAGTCAACTAAGCTGTTAAAGGGTGAAGTATTCTTTGATTCTATCTAGGTTACTGCCCATTCCCTGGAGGTAGCGCCCACGACTTTCTATACCCGCCTGTTTCGAACGTATGTAGATAGACACTGAGGTAAGCTTTCTGGTTTCGGTATGGAAAGGCTATCAGAGACTGGATGTAGTTGGTTCCGCTCGTGTTACTATCGGGACTGGTAGAATTAGTGAGTAAACTTTCATTGTCAGTGTGGCCGCCGCAATTCTTGGTGGTGCTTCGAACCCCTTGCTCACAGTAAGTCGCTACACGCCCGTTAAAAAATGATAAATTCTAACGAGGCTGTAGGCCGTCTATGGATTGGCCGTGGGTTCGTTCGCGGATAGATCCAATGGCGTGACCTCCATTCCCGAATTGTCTGCAGCAGTGGCTAAGGTCTGCCTATATTGGGTTTATCTCGGAATTGCCATGTTCTTCTTCATTTATATCACGACCGTTGGATTCTATTACGTCGGTGAACGTGTTGTGATGCGCCTACGCTATGCCTATCTCCGGACAACCTTCGACAAAATATAGCATTTTTCGACACTCTCGGCGCCGGCGACGTCACAACGCGTATTACCTCGGATATGAATCTCATCCAAGAAGGTATCACCAGCAAAGTGTCCATGGGCCTCATCGCAGTAGCAACGTTCTGCTCAGCTTATACCATCACATATATTCAGTACTGGAAGCTTGGTCTCATCATGACATCGACCGTGGTTGTGATGTTGCTCACTGGAACTGCTGGAGGTATCTTGGCAGTTAGAAATTCCAAGTAAAGAATGACCCTATATAATAGCGGTTCTAATCTGGCTGAGGAGAGCATCGGGTCAATAAGACATGTACTGCATTCGGTATTCGGTATCCAGAATGCTCTTGCGGATAAATATCTGGGATTTTCAAGGCAGGGAGAAAAGCCTAGTATCAAAGCAAGACTGGCTATATCTTTCATGATTTCTTTCATGAATGGCCTGCCTTTCCTCTCTTACGGTCTCTGCTTCTGGCAAAGCGGCAGGTATATTATATCAGGGCATATGGGTCCGGGGGCTGCTGTAACTGCTACAATGGCCATTGTTATTGGAGATTTCTCAATAGGAAGGGTTGCACCAAGTCTCCAGTCTTTCATAGCTAGCACAGCAAGCGCTAGTATGATCATTTGTTCCATGAAACGCGCATCCCCTGAGGACCCCTTATCGACGGAGGGTGGAAGACCTGAGGGAATAAAGGGTGAAGTCTCCTTTAATGACGTTAGCCTAATTTACCCATCAAGACAAGATGTTACTGTCCTTAAACGTGTCTGCCTAACGATGCCGGCAGGAAAAACAACGGCAATTGTGGGACCAACTGGGTCCGGAAAGAGCAGTATTGTTGGCCTGGTCGAGCGCTTTTATAGGCCAACTGGGGGCCATATCACGCTTGATGGACACAATATTCAATATCTCAACTTACGGTGGCTGCGCAGCCAACTAGCCTACGTAGGCCAAGAGCCAATCTTATTTAATACCACTATTCAGGAGAATATTGGTCATGGATTGGCTTACCTTGACGATGCCACTCGCTCGTCCAGGGATCTCAAAGCCGCAGTTATTGATGCTGCGAAGGATGCAAACGCACATGATTTCATCATGGCACTGCCCGAAGGCTACGAAACTGTGGTTGGCGAAAAGGGTCTGCAGTTATCTGGAGGGCAACGGCAGCGAATTGCTATTGCTCGAGCCTTGATTCGTGATCCGACCGTACTCATACTTGACGAAGCTACTTCCGCCCTCGATAGCCGAGCTGAAAAACTAGTGCAAAAGGCATTGACAAAGGCCGCCAAGGGCAGAACTACTATAGTCATTGCCCATCGACTATCGACTATACGCTCGGCAGACAATATCGCTGTCTTGTCTGGGGGTGAGATTGTGGAGCAGGGGGATCACGATAGTCTGATGGCGAACCAAGGGCTGTATGCGAACCTTGTCAACGGACAACAACTGACAGAAGAGAAGACAGACGAAGATGACGATGCTCTAATTGAAAATGCGAGCATTTCTTCGTGGTTTGTGGACGAGAAATCCACTGCCAAAGAACTGCCAGAGATTGTTGTAGAGAAGATCGATTCAAAAAAGCTCGACAAACGACTATCCTTCAGGGACCTTCTTCATCTGATGGATAAGCTAAACCGGCCAGAGCGTATGCTGATCCTTTTGGGTCTCATCAGCTGTGTATTCGCGGGACTAGGAACTCCAGTGTGCGTATTTCCTTGATATCTGCAGGTTTCATCCAACCCTTTTGCTAACGCCAAATGGATAACTTCAGACAGGCCATCTTCTTTGCAAAGCTCATCGAGGCCGTATCCGTTCCAGCGTCTCAATACAATAAGCTTCGCTCCGAAACCAGCTTCTGGGCCTTGATGTATCTGATGCTTGGTATCGTTGCTATCATATCGTGGTTTGGCCAAGGTGCTTGCTTTGCCTTCTCTTCAGAACGTCTCATCCGTAGAGCGAAGGACACAGCTTTCCGCTCCATTCTGCGCCAAGAAGTCTCCTTCTTTGACGAGAGGTCAACAGGAGACCTAACCACAATACTGTCCCAGGACACCACTCATCTAGGTGGGCTGGACGGAGCTGTACTAGGCTCCATGATAACTTTCAGGGTGACCATCGTCGGCGGGCTCGCGCTCTCGGTTGCAATTGGCTGGAAGCTGGGTCTCGTGTGTGCCGCATTGATACCCATTACGGTTGGAAGTGGCTATATCCGATTGATAATTCTTAGTTTGTTTGACCGTAAAGTACGACAGACTCAAGCCAAGTCTGCAGCTTACGCCAATGAAGCTGTTAGAGCAATTCGTACTGTCGCAAGTCTGGGCCTTGAGAATGAGGTGCTACAGCGTTACCGTGCTATCCTGGAGCGTGATGCGGCGGCATCGCTCCGCTCAATCTTGCAAGCTTCGGTGCTGTTCGCCCTATCTCAGTCTCTGCTTATGCCAACGGGAGCTTTGGTTTTCTGGTATAGCAGTACGCTCCTGGCAACCGGAGAGTATACGTTAACACAGTGCTTCATCTGCTTTTCTGCACTTGTCACCGGCGCCCAGACAGCTGGTGCCGTATTCAACTTTGCCCCTGATATGAGCAAAGCTATGCAAGCAGGACGGCAGCTTCGTAACTTGTTTGAGCGTATACCCCCAATTGACAGCTATAGCACTGAGGGCCGGCTATTGCCAGCAGGAGCGTGCCACGGTGCCATCGAAATCCTAGACGTCAGTTACCGTTACCCGCAACGTCCAGAGCGAGTTGTACTGGAAAATTTCTCTCTCTCCATCAAACCAGGCCAATTCGTTGCACTAGTGGGTCCAAGTGGATGCGGCAAATCAACCGTTCTGTCCCTCCTGGAGCGCTTCTTCGACCCGGAAACTGGACAGATCCAGGTCGATGGATCTAGCATCACGGGGTTAAATATCTCTCAGTACCGAAGCTGTATTGCGATGGTTGGGCAGGAGCCAGTTGTATACTCTGGCACTATCCGCGAAAACCTGGTGTTGGGAGTTGCCGAGGGAGTAACGGACGAAGCTATCGCCCAGGCTTGTAAGGATGCAAACATTCACGAGTTCATCTCATCGCTTCCGTAAGTGAACTTCTTGTTTTTTCCGTTCTCCATACCCAGAACCCATTCAGTCTAACTTTAGTCTCACGCATGTAGGGATGGGTTTGCAACTGTGGTCGGTGCCCAGGGCAGTATGTTAAGCGGAGGCCAAAAACAGCGAGTGGCTATTGCGCGAGCACTCCTCCGCAACCCCAAAATACTGCTGTTAGATGAGGCGACATCAGCGCTGGATTCGCAGTCAGAACGGATAGTGCAGGAGGCCCTAGATAGAGCAGCCAAGGGCCGTACCACCATCTCGGTTGCCCACAGGCTGAGTAAGATCAAGCAAGCCGACCTAATCTGCGTCATGGACCAGGGTAAGCTTGTCGAAAAGGGGACACATGAGCAGCTGATGGCAAAGAGGAAGATGTATTACGATCTCGTCCAGGCCCAGGATCTTGACAGAGTTTCTTGAGCCCGTACGCATGGCACTGTCTCAGGTGTATCTGCTCTTGCAGACTTTTCTTCTGTCTTTTTCTTATAAACATAGTTATCCTTTTGCTGTTGAATAATGAGATCTCCCAGCTCGTCTTTGGGCCGCCAACAACATCACCCGGGGTATCAGTGAAACGTCGATAACGTTGAGATCAAGCAAGTACAGTGTACAAGGGAGTAGGTATGATATATGCACTATAGTATATCCACTTCAGCTCGCCTTAATTCCATCAATTAAGTGTTTGTCGTCGTCGTCGTTCTTCTTTTCTTCGTCTGTTGTGGAAATACAGCAAAGAAACCTTAAGTTGGAGCTCAGACCAAGTCACGTGACTTTCACGTGATTTACTATTTCCCGAGGTCATTTACCTCCGACATTTGAGTTTCATTTCATTACTAATCATGTCTTTGCCCAATGAAAAGCAGAAAGACTTTTACCTTCGATTTGTTTCATTCATTGGTTAATTAGGCAAAGTAACAATAATATTAGCCAATAAGAGCTCATACTCACTACCCAACCTTTTCCTATCTTCAGCATTTTTATCTTCGGCGAAGAAGAAACATTACCAGGTGCATAGATAGGCAGACTTGAAGCAGTGATAGAACAGGATATGAAAGCTGGTTCAATGTGTTGGCGTCACATTTTATCTAGCGGACTCCACGTAGTGCGAGTGTAGTTACATTCCCTAAACCCGTGGGGGCGGAAATCCAACGCCTGCATTATTAGGAACTGTTGGATCAGGCTGAACTGGCGGACCAGGGGTATTGTGTTCTGCGGCTGGAATAACTGTGTTATTCATATAAATATGTCAGTCCCAGCTCCTAAACCAGCTGGTTGCGTCTGTAATATTTCGACGCGTGCAATGACTCTTTAGTTACTTTGCATTGCGTGTCTTCGTGAGCACATCGCTATGCGGACGACGCTCCGGATAACTAGAGCTACTTACATCCAATTCCCGAAGCCTGGAAACACAGAGCACTGACCAGACGGGGGTTGAGCTGGGAGTTACACCACAGCTACCTAACGCTGCCGAGTATGTTGGAACTTGATACCCGTCATGAACGAGCCAGCAGTGACCCAACATTCACATACGCCTACTTCCTCTGCAGTCGCCATGCAGGCAGACATCACGAGAACCAAATTCTTTGAGGCTTTGCACTCCGAGTAACGGTGGGGTTTGCTGGCTCTCCGGGGTACTTTACCCAATCCTAACAGGGACAGGGAGTATGCTTATGGAGGGACTGGCACCGAGGGAAGTCCTCGAGATCAGGTGTCACTGCCACCTAGGTAACCTAACTAACTCCCTAGGTAGCCATAATGGCCTGGTTATTGCATTTCGCCCAAGACTGTTCCTCAATCGCCGTAGTCTCCCTTGCGGAATTCTCTGCGCGAAGGCCGGGTAGCCAACGCATATCCTTCGCACCATGAAGATGTGAGCGAAGATGCGAGGACCAAGCAAATACGAGGGTTTTGGGCAGGGCCATGGATCGTCGAATTTTAGTCTAGTTATGCCAACCAACACCGCAAAGATCTTCCTCTTCCTGATGGCTGCCGGATGCTGGAAACAAAACTCCGTGAAGATTTTCCCCTTGGCTCAGATCCTTGCCGTGAAGGATGCTACTCCCGTGGAGAGGAGAACAAACGAGGGATCTGACGCAAGCAACAACCCGAACCACGGTTCCTGGCTGGATAAGCCTAAAAACGGATACATTCATGCTGTCAAACGACTCTCCTTGACGACAAAGCCCTATTTTGTCTTCTGGGTTGGCCGGCTTGACTAGTTAGCTATTTGGGACGTTGGCTTCGATCATGACTCGACAAGCTCTAACTGTCAACTGATAACTACTCTCCATCTCTGGACAATGCACTTGTTTAGCAAAGTGGCGTTTTTTTCAGGACCCTGTCGCGATGCCGCGCAGCCCATGTGAGCGCTGACGGGAGCCCGAAGACCCGTAGCCGACCTATCGACTAGGGTATCCCATCGCATCCAGTGGTCGCCTTTTCCGCCCCAGAGTGCGTTTTGGCTTCACTACTTGGTTCCAGGGCTCGCTTGCAACAGAGTTGCATACAGAGTGGAGGAGCACGAAAGCCTCGATGCTGGCTCCCGGAACCAGCGCCATCCGAGCAACCCCAAGCCAGAGCTGACCTCTCATATTGCGAGGCATCCCCCCAAGCATTACTTTGCTTCGATGGGCAAGT